TTACGGTTTCTTGGCTGTCGCTTGGCAATTGGAAGTTTTAGCTCCCTCCATAAATTTTCTATAGGATTAAGGTCTGGAGACTGGCTAGGCCACTCCATGACCTTAATGTGCTTCTCCATGACCTTAATGTGCTTCTCCATGACCTTAATGTGCTTCTTCTTGAGCAACTGCTTTGTTGCCTTGGCGGTATGTTTTGGGTCATTGTCATGCTGAAAGGCCCATCCACGACCCATCTTCAGTGTTCTAGCTGAGGGAAGGAGGTTCTCATCCAGGATTTTACAATACATGCCCCCTTCCATTGGTCCTTAAATGCTACAACGTCAGCCTGTACCTTTAGCAGAGAAAAAGCTCAAAAGTATAATGTTTCCACCTCCTTGCTTGACTGTAGGGATGGTGTTCTTTGGGTCATAGTCAGCATTTTTCTTTCTCCTAACACGGCGAGTCGAGTTAATGCCTAAGAGCTCAGTTTTGGTCTCATCTGACCCCACAGCACTTTCTCCCAATCCTTCTCTGAATCATTTAGATGTTCATTGGCAAACTTCAGACGGGCCTGTACATGTGCCTTCTGGAGGCCGCATCGTCTAGAAGGCACATGTACAGGCCATCTGAAGTTTGCGGGCGCTGCTGGATCTCAATCCATGGCAGTGTATTGTGTTACCAATGGTTTGTTTGGTGACTGGTCCCAACTGCCTTGAGATCATTCACAAGCTCCTCCCGTGTAGTTCTAGGCTGATCCCTCCCTTTTCTTATGATCATCCTTACCCCATGAGCTGAAATCTTGCATAGAGCCCCAGACCAAGGGCGATTGATGGTTATTTTGTATTCTTTCAATTTGCGAATAATCCCTCCAACAGATGTTTCCTTCTCACCAAGCTTCTTGCTTATAGTCTTGTAGCCCATTCCAGCCTCGTGCAGGTCTACAATCTTGTTCCTAACGTCCTTTGACAGCTCTTTGGTCTTGCCCATGATGGTGAGGTTTGAATGGAAGAAAGATTCTGTGGACAGGTGTCTTTAATTTACATAACGTTGTCGTTAGGAGCACCTTCTTAAATTGACAGGACTAATCTATGTACCACATAGCCAGTCTGTGGGAGCCAGAATTATTTTTAGTTGGTAGGGGATCAAATACTTTTTACTCACTGAACTGCAACTCAATTTATAACATTTGTATCATGTGTTTTTTCTGGATTTTTGGTTGATATTCTGTCCCTATCATTTAAAATACACCTATGATAAAAATGATCAACCTTTCATTTCTTTGTAAGTAGGCAAACTTACAAAATATGCAGGGGATCATCAAATAATTATTTTCCTCACTGTATGTTATACATTGTTTATTGATGGAATGTTTTTTAATTTATTTGTCAAGCCTAAAGATTGCCCCCTCGCTTCCGCTCCTGATAATACATTGTCACAGGGACAGGAACTGAGGGCAAATGACTCCAATGCGGCCTCAGCAATATGTTAATCAATAGAGACGGATCATTTCATGACTATTATTGTGGCAGTGTTATACAGACTTATCTAGGATAAGTTTGCATGAAAGAAGTAAGAAAAAGTTTACTCTGTGTTTAACACAAACCTGCCATACAAAAATGACTGCTAGTTGCCTGACTGTCAGATTGATCTAGTTTGACTTCAAAGTCACTGGCCAGGAACAGTCATGCAACAAGTGAATAAAGTTTGTCATAATGTTTACTCTAATTAAAAAGAAAACTAAACAGTACTTAATTAATGGAAACGGGCAGGGATCTGGAATTAAAGGAGAACTATGAGATTAGTGATTTCCACTCATCCTCATAGTTAGAGCTGACTTATGACAAAGAAGCAGGTCGGCTCCATCGATCGCCAAGTGAGCAGAAACATGCACCGATCCGCTCACTACCCGACTGTCAGTCACCACTCCCTGCAGGGATTCCCCTCTCCGATCCTCCAGCGCTGAGTGGAGGAACGGACGGGGAGGGGCACAGCTGGCTCTGCCTCTAGATAGGCAGAGCCAGCTGTCACTCATGCAGCTGGGTCGATCTCGACAGCATTGTCGGGATCTGTCCCAGCTGCGGTGCTCTCAGTGCCCGCAATATACTGAGCTTTGGGTCACGGAAGGAGGTTAGTATATGTCCTCCTGTGATCCTAAAGAGAACTATGGGGAAAAACACTTACCCCATAGTTCTCTTTTAACCCCTTGCCATCCGCCCCTCGTAAAAATAGGGGGCGGACGGCGGATCCTTCCCGGCGGGTGGACGTACATGTACGTGATTTTTTTTCTGCTAGCGGGCGCGCGCAAGCATCCCGCCTGGAAGGTAAACATCCGTTACCTGCTGTTTCAACAAGCGTTCGCTTGTATAACCATACATTGTGCGGCCCCCTCCATTGCCGATTATCCCAGGCTGTCCCCTCTGCGGTGCCCGGGACCGAGAACACTGGCACAGCGGCTGCTACTAGAGAGGAGGAGGAGAGATCAGCACTTCCCCCACCGCTGATTTCTCCTCCTTCTCTCCCATCACTTCCCCCACCGCTGATTTCTCCTCCTTCTCTCCCATCACTTCCACCTTTAGCTGTCATTTCTCTGGCTGAGAGCCAGAGAAAAAGCTGGTGAAACAGATCTCTGCTTAATCTGCTTCTTTGTGGGTCTTGGGGACCCCTGATGTCTCCATAAAGAGGACCTGTCATATTTTTTCTAGCTATCACATAGGGGGCTTTTTAGTGATAGAAATCAAGTTAGGTGTAAGAAAAAAAAATAGTTCATTAAAAAACACCATTTTTTTAGGTCTCCTGCCCCCGCGTGCACACACTTATAAATGTAAATACACATCTGGTGCACCTACGTGCGTAAACAATGATTACGCCACACATGTTACATATCGGGAGTGTGAGCAATAATTCTAGGCCCATTAATCACTGATAACACTTAACTGATGAGCGGTAAAAGCTTCTAAAGTGTTGCCTATGTCCAATTTTAGGCATGGTAGTTTTTTTGCGATTTTGGGGGGGCATGCAATTTTAAAAGCTTGACATGTTTGGTGTCTATTTACCTAACATGACCCCATCTTTTTTTACTTGCGCTAATTTGAAGCAATAATGTTCCAAAATATATATATGTATTACCTAAAATCAGTGCAAAATAATGACTGGTGACAATAAATGAGGCTCAAAATATGCAATAATTATCATCAACAAAAATAAAACCACAGGATGTTATTTCAAATATTTATGAAACAAAACTATGCATCTCCTGAAATGCAACTAGTAACCTCTCAGTAGCTCTGCAGGATGTGACATGAATGTGCAGAATCAAAATGTGACCTCTCCCAGCAAAACAGATATTTAAAGCTCAAAGTCCGTACTGTGCATTAACTAATTTAGAATACTATGCACAGTACTAGCAAATCAGCCAAGAATCTATATGTGGTAAAGACAAACTTCCACTAAGTTATTTTTTTTTAATGTATATCACAACCTAAACCATTGGCTAGAAATTAAAAACAGCTTCCATGAAATTTCAAAAAGACTGCTCCCAAAATTGAAAGGGAGATAATTTTTACTGCAGCTAAAACTATTCCAATTCAATCCTGATGTTAGCAATAACCGACTAGTTTATCTAAATGGTTTAGTTAGATAAACGTGGCAAGTAAATGGAAATCTATACTTTATCAAAATTGAAAATTCTTTGGTCTCAGATGTCAGTTTTGTGTCAGTATAGAGACAGGAGATGTTCAGTTTCTTTTTGTTCAGTTCCCCCTGGCAGCCCATCAATTAGCTTCAGAACCCTCCTTTGTGTGTCTGTGTCCGTTCTCATGCATCAGTTCTTTAATTTTCTTTAAAAATAACATCCCATTTCCTGAAATCATATACACACTTACCTGAAGAGGACAATGTTAGACTAGGAACAATTTTGGATTTTTCCTTAAAATTCCAATATTATTCCGTGAGTTTACCTTTGACCTAAGTCTTGTTAAAAAATTATAAAATCAAGAGATAATCGGCTATCTTGACAGACCTTGCTACACATTCTGCAAGCCACTGTCCTCTTTAAGAGATATATTGCTTGAGTAAGTTTGAGCAAGGAAAACAATTCTCTTCTACATAAATTGAGAATAAGGTCATCTGCACTAATAGACCATGGTTACTTAAATTGTTCACTGATCACAGAAATAATAATATACTTCATGTAATTATTTGTGTTTTCAAAAACACCATATTAATAATATATGTCAATAAGTAAAACCAAATAATATATATATATAAGGTATATATGTTGACTATTGTATAAACAATAAATATCAAATTACTCATGCAATAATAATGATACAATTGAAATTATTGGTTATACCATTTCTATCAAATAATAATACTGTCTACAAGGTTAACTTTTAATGTGAGCTCTTTTTCATAAGTTGTAAAGATGAGAAAGGGAAAAAACATAATGGTGAATGTTTCTTTTGTCCGTTTGTTAAGCTTGAGACATGGCATCTCCAATAATCTTTCAGTCTAACACAGTCTGGTACCATGGTCAGTCCTTATCTCGTCATTGTTGTCTTGTCCCTCCAGAATTTACAACCTGTGAATGTATGCTGCAAGGGTCTGAGAATGGTTGCTGATGGTCTTTGTCCAGAAACCACAAACTCAAATGGCTTCCTGTATGTTCATGTTACATTATGTAGAATAAAAAGCATATTCCTTACAGTATCTTCGTATAGCACTCAATAGTTCTAACAAAGTCCTGATTTATACTTGTTTCGGGTCAGTGAAATATATTGCAACCATAGGATCAGTTTATCAGCCAAGCAACCAGCATTTTCAAAATTAGAGGTTCTCTAATGATTTTAGTTGGCATGATTAAATAATTAATCATGGAGTTTTTTTTCAAAGCCTTTTGATTTTCTGCTAATGAGAATAATTTTTTGTGCAAAACCTAGTTATTACAAAAATTATTTTTAAAGTTGGCATGTTTTATTTCTTTAAAAACCTTTTTAATGTGCAGTTTTTTGTTTTTTTTACAGTTTCATCCTCATTTCGCTCAGAAAAACCAGCCAAAGCACCAAGCATACGCAGCTCAAGTAAGTGATTGGCTTCTATTGTTAAAGTGTAGTCGTACATATACTGTTGCTATGTCCCCTATCCTTCTTACCCTTAAAGTGACACTTAAAAATGCATTCAAGCACCTTAACTATTAAAGAAGAAATCCAGGGGGAAAAAAACATTTTCCGCGTACTGTAACTAGCTTTTGAAAGTTTTAAAAACGTGCTTGCCTTTCTGCATGGCAATGTAGTCTTCCAGAAATCCATGGTACAAGTCTGTGCTTCCTGCCCTCTGCCTCCTGCATTTCCTTTCTGTTAGACCACTAGCTACTGTGCAGTCTAATAGCCTATCCAGTGTTCTAAAAACCTCCCCCTGTAGTTCTAGTGCAGCCAGCAGGGAAGTGATCACATCCAGCACACACTGCAGTGGGTGGAGTAGGGAAGTCTTTGACTGCTGGTCTGACCAGGCTACTCTCAGTGCAGCTCCCGGCTCTCACACCTCCTTCCCTGAGACTGGGCAGTGCTGTAACTGTACTGTTCCACACTAGTGATGGGAAGTTCGGATCTTTTATATGAATTGGTTCATTTCGAACTGTTCAAATAAACCCATTCATGAATTGATCGGTTCACTTGCTGAGTCTGCTGACATGCAAGTGGACTGCAGTTCAGGAGCTGACTCAACCTAAATGGTTAAAGTATCAATCTAAATAAGGATCCCCTCTCATCTCCCTGCAAGGCTGTCTGTCACTTACCACTGCTGCAACCTGACCATTGATTCAGTGTACTGTGTTCTACTGAAGACTCATATGATTCTTTGGTTCAGTGTACTGGTGTTTTACTGGAGACTCATGATTCTTTGATTCAGTGTACTGAGGTACTATTGACCCAGCTGTGTTGTAACTTCTGATCCTCAGTGTATTGTTAGCTGGCTGGCTGGTTGCAGGGGAGGGAGTGGCAGAAGCTGACCTCTCTCAGTCTAGGTTTAAAGTACCAGAGCTGTTGTCCTATTGATTCAACAATTAACCCTTTCAAATAAATCAGTCAGATGAGTTATTTCTTTCAGTTCACTGAAAAGAATCAATCCAAAAAAACAATTTGTTTATGAGCTGGACACCACTATTCCACACAGCCAGATGCCCTGGACTGTTAGGATGAGGCAGGATGATGTCAAAGCAGGGGAATTTGTCATGCAGAGGCACCTGTAATATATCTATTCCCTTTGTCTGCAAAAAAAAAAAAAGAAACTGAAGTCACTAGAGCATATAGCACTTTGTAGCTCTTCCGATCTCCACCCTCAGCTCTGCCTATACACTCCTTTCACTTCCTCTATTTCACAATGCCTCATGGGAGATGTAGTCAGCTTTCTATGCCAGGATATGACACACACATAGGTTACCTAGATCCTCCCACTGGCTGCAGGAAGTGCTGATCTAATAGGAGGATGTGACCTCACTGGCTGCTAAAAACAAGGATTACAAGAAAAGTAAGAACTTTTATGATAAATTGTTACAGCTAGGGATGCACCGATACCAGTTTTTCAGTTACGAGTACCGATTTTTTTTTTTTTCTTTTCGGTGCTCACCAATACTGAATACCGATACTAGAAGTCCCATTAACCACTTGAAGACCTGGTGTTTACACCACCTTCCTGGCCAGGCCATCTTTCAGTATTCAGCGATACGGTACTTTGACATATTTCCTGTCATGCAACGCTGTACTGAAATTAATTTTTATAACATTTTTGGGGACAGATAGAGCTTTCTTTTGGTGATATTTAATCACCACTGCGGTTTTAATTTTTTACTATATTAAGGAAAAATTACTGACATTTTTTTACATTGTTATAAAACATTTATTATTACCCAATTTTTTGGTAAAATATAAAAGACGGGGTCGCGTCGGGTAAATAGACACCAAACATGTCAAGCTTTAAAATTGTGCGCACCAGCGAAATCGCGAAAACCTACCATGCCCAAAATTTACCATAGACGACGCTTTAACCCTTTCGCTGCCAAGGACGTATGGCATACGGAGCTACAAAAGTGCTTCCAGCTGGCCAGCCCAGTATGCCGTACGTCCTTGGCATTTACAGTTCTGCTATAAGCTGATGGTCGCCTTAGCGACCATCAGCTTATAGTAGAACTGTTTTGGTGTAAGTGGAGGTTTTCATATTTTCCAATTTCTCCTGGGTGGTGCTGCTCCACAGGTAAATGACCTTGCGGTCTGCGCTGGTGAAAATCTCCAGACGTTCTGGAGTGATTCCTGGCATTTGGGCTGCACTGTTATATATTTTATCCTTACATTGCAAGAGCCTTGCTTTCCCATAATCTCCAGCCCTTGTATAACTAAAGCATTGATTTCCCACTAGGGTCAAACCAGATAAGGCTGTATGTATTCGACATATGCCGAATAGTCAAATAATTGAGTATACCATAGCCTCTGTTGCTGTGATGAGAACCAATGCATAGAGATCCTTGCACAGCATTTATACTATAGCTGAAGCCTGCGCTACCTTTGCAAAAGTAATAGGGAATTTTTTCTGCAGTTCCCTGGCTTCACCAAATTTTATCTCACTACTCGGGTGAGTTTTGCCCAGTGAATTTCAATTCCCCTGGGTGGATCTGCTACACAGGTGATTGACCTTTCTAGCAGCACCGGTGGACACCTCCAGACAATCCTGGGGTTCCTACCACTTTGGCAGCACTGTTACATATATTTGTTTTTTTTCCTTATCACTGGAGCCTCATTTTTCCCTCTAGGGTTAAAACCTGATAAGACTCTAGGTATTCGGCATATGCTGATGAAACAAATAAGCGGATATGCTATTACTTTATCCCACCAGAATAAGACGACTAATAATGAATATTTGGAGGATAAAAGGCTACATACAGAGACACCTATAATATAGCAGAAGCTGGTGCTGCCTTTACCTAGCTATCCCATAGGGGGCTTCTTAGCCCCCCATGTAATAGCAATAAAGTTGTGTTAAAAAAAAAAGTAATATAAAAATTAGACTCATAAAAAAGACTCATAAAAAAATAAAGAAGCATAAAAAAAATTAAAAAAGAAAAACATTTTTTAAGTCCCCCGCCCCCCACATACACACGTAGATATGCGTCGGGTGCGCCTACGTGCGAAAACGACGATTGCGCCTATTGTGCTGCACATGTTACATATCGCAGCAAATGTCGGAGTGAGAGCAATAATTCTAGAGCCATCAATCACTGATAACACTAAACTGATGATCAGTAAAAGCATTTTAATCGTGTTTGCATGTGTGTTTGCGAAAGACAGAGGTTAGTTGCATCCAGGTTTTGATGTTGATTTTTGTTCGTTCCAGACACTTGTAAACACATGTCAACGCAACATGTGCAAACGCATGTAAGTCACAGTTGATGGCATAATATTAGATGTGTCTAGACGCATATGCACGTAGAGGCATGCGTGCATAAGTCCTTAACGCAGATAAGATCATAATTTTGTCACCTTACTTGCCAGATTTTTTCTCTGCACATGAAGGCATGGAGTGCAAATGGCAAGTATGAATGTAGCTGTACCTTATGTATACGGGCACCTACTATGTAACCCTGGTTGCTCACCATATGTGGCTTCCCCTGGACAGGAAGTTGTTAATGCGTCCTTTTACCGGACGCATACAGTTTAGACATCTATTGGGCTGTATGTAGCATATGTTCTGTTAGGGGTCTTCAATGGGGCATAGCTTTTTTTTCCAGGCTATTCCATAAATATCACTAGCTTTGGCTTGTATCCACCTCAAGCATGGCTTCAGGTGGTCGACTTCATGCTTTTCCATTCTGTTCAATTTCACACAGGAGAATTTGCCTTATATCAGGGAGGATGTCAAGGTTGCATTCGCCCTGCGTGTGAATGGCTTAGGAATACTGACTGCTCTCTGCATTCAGAAGCCATTTTGCGTGCTCAGGCACATGTTTTAGGGCCTGTTCACATGATATCAGGTCCTGATCAGGTGCGGATCTGCAGACGCGGTGCTATTGATGCAGTGTGTTTTGGCCGCGTTTTTGATGCGTTCCAGTTTTAAAAAACATTTTTTTTTTTTTTTGCTGGAGTGGGGCTGTCAGTATGTTAGCTGCAATGCAGTGCGTTTTTGACGCGTTTTGCGTTTCCGGTCCGTTTCCTGACCGGACAAAATGTGACATGCAGTATTTTTTCTGTCGTAACCTGAACGGACTGCGCACGTGAGAACTGTAGCCCATAAAACACATAGGGATACATTGGGATGCATTTTTAGTGCAGGAGTGTACGTATCAGGTCAGCACAGAAAACGGACGTCGTGTGAACAGGCCCTTAGGGAAGTGTTATACGGTCGAAAATCAAAGCAGTGTGTTTGCATGCCAGATTATTTTGGTGAAGCAATGGAATCTAACATGGTGGTGTGATTTGGGACTATTGTTCTGGACACGCAGCAGATATGGACAAGTAATAAACAAGATCATTGCAGAGACAGGCTACATACTTCAGGTTTATGGTTGAGCCTGCACCTATGTACTATAGGCTTCGTTTAGAGATAAGTCTATTGGGTACAATGACATGGTCAAGTGTTTTTACCCCAACAAGTTCAGTATGTCGCAGTGACGACCTGCTTGTGTTTTTTCCATACATCAGCTTCTCTATTCTGCCTATAGTATTGGAGGAGTGTCAAAACTTAGGATCATAGGCCAGCCATATGATATTTGTTTTATCTCACAGTAGAGCTGCAACAACGATTCGATTTCGTCAATTAAAATCGACGATCGAAAACGTTGTCAACGTTTTCGATCGTCTATTAGTCGGCTATCTATTACATTGCCTGTTCGTGGCTCCACCCTCAAGCCCTGCACGCAGCGCAAGCCACGCCCACCAAACGCGCAAGCCGCGGTCCAGCCCCCGGCTCTTCTCCAATCCCGGTGCTCCTCACATCTAGCCGGGCCGGTGCGATCACATGACGAGTGCCGGTGATGTGAGCGCGACGGGTGAAAGCCGGGATACGGAGACTATGGCTGGGGACGAGCTGGCATCCAGGTTGAACCGTTCAGAAGAAGACATGAAGGGAATTTTCAAACAGTAAGTGCCCCGAGCACACCAGAGCATGGGACCCGACACCGTGCACCCCAATCCACCATCATACCCGTCCTCTGCACCCCATTCCACCATCATACCCATCCTCTGCACCCTATTCCACCATCATAGCCATCCTCTCCATCCCTGCACCCCAACCCACCATCATACCCGTCTTTTGCACCCCATCCAACCATTATGCCCGTCCTTTGCACCCCATTCCACTATCATACCCATCCTCTCCATCCCTGCACTCCATTCCATCATCATACCCGTCCTCTGCACCCCATTCCACCATCATACCCGTCCTCTGCACCCCATTCCACCATCATACCCGTCCTCTCCTTCCCTGCACTCCATTCCATCATCATACCCGTCCTCTGCAACCCATTCCACCATCTTACCCGTCCTCTCTATTCCTGCATCATACCCGTCCTCTCTATTCCTGCATCATACCCGTCCTCTCTATTCCTGCATCATACCCGTCCTCTCTATTCCTGCATCATACCCGTCCTCTCCATTCCTGCATCATACCCGTCCTCTCCAATAACACCAGCTATAGAGGAATACATCAGATCCCAGCAATAGTACATTACACTATAATGTACTATTGCTGGGATTTGCTGTATTCCTCTACAGCTGCTGGTATTCTGCATTGCGACGCTGTATAATGTATTATTGCACACCACACTTTTTTTTTTACTTCCACCGCTCCAAGCTTGCGCCTGTGCTGGACTACAATCTCAATACAAACTAGTAGTCCATCACTGGAGCCTTTTTAAAAAAAATCTGATTAATCGAACTTCATAATCGGCTAACTAATCGATTATGAAAATAATCGTTAGCTGCAGCCCTATCTCACAGTTGCCTCTTCTTGGTCATGGCACTTTGCATTACAGGTCAGTCCCAGTAATATCTACAAAGCTGCTGTGCTGTTTTTCTCTGTTGGGAAAGACAGGGTGCTGAGAGTGCATGCAATGAAGAGGTAAACACCCTGTTATATTTATTTGCCCACTTGACAAATTCCTATGCTTAACTCTTGAGATATGTGAGTGCATTCAATGGCTCAAACAGCTCAAAAATCTGGGAATGATCAAATAAATTTTTATTAAACTTAGGGGTTAACTGGATGGGTACAACTTACCTACCCAGGGAGCCCTTGGCTTCTGAAAAGGTCAGAAGTCCTGAAATTGACAGTCTTTGATCAAGAGCCTAAGTACATTCAGCAAGCTATCCTAGACCAGGCTCGAACAAACTATACTCCTCCTTTTACGTGTGGGTGTGAGTGTGCACATATAGGTATATATGTATGCTTTCCTTCCTGAGAGGCCATAGTCCATGGCATCTTAGGTAGGTGATGACCGAGTCTGTACAGCCACACATGTGTTACATTTTTTCTTTTGTATAACACAAAGAAAGTCACAAAGAAACATTCAAGGAGCAAAAGTGGGTCAAACATTGACCCCGACATCAAAAATAAAAAGTTACAGAAATACAATGACATACATAACCACATTATAACACAATAAGCGGGTATTCAGCCCGGCTACATCATGTCATATAGGCTCGACCTCAAGGAAAGTTGGTGATGTCTCCATCACCACCATGAGTATAGCTTATCGTGCACCAACCTGTCTCCGAGTATCAAAGACAGTACTAACTGATATCCAGTGCTAGTGGGTAGCTCACAAAGTGAAACCATCAAAGAAGTCCAAGACCTGGGGGATCAGTCCAGTGCCTGGGTAACCTCATGAGAGCATCCGTCAAGGCGGGTTAGATTCATAGTGCAACCATGCTGCCCATTTAGATTGGAAGCGGTCAGGTTTGTTTCCGCTCTTCGCCACCCATTCCTCTGCCTCCTGGATTAGTGTGACCTGAGCCACCCATTCAGACCGCCCCGGTACCCGAGTCTGCTTACAGTATCTGGGGATGAGTCCCCTCGCCGCATCCAAAAGATGGGGCAGGACACCCCTCCTATAGGAGCCAATGGACGTGGAAGGGAGGTGGAACAGCATATGAATGGGATCGTCTGATATGTCAACCTTTGTGATAAGTTTAATTTGTGTGCGAATATCTTGCCAGAAGCCCCGTACAAGAGGGCATTCCCACCATATACAGGTGTAACTCGAATAATTTGAATATCGTGCAAAAGTTCATTTATTTCACTAATGCAACTTAAAAGGTGAAATATTATATGAGATAGACTCATTACATGCAAAGCAAGATAGTTTAAGCCGTTATTTGTCATAAGTGTGATGATTATGGCTTACAGCTCATGAAAACCCCAAATCCACAATCTCAGAAAATTAGTGAAAAGGTGCAATATTCTAGGCTCAAAGTGTCCCACTCTAATCAGCTAATTAAGCCATAACACCTGCAAAGGGTTCCTGAACCTTTAACCCCTTCATGACTGAGCTTGTTTTTAGTTTCTGTTCGTAAATGACTGACACACTTTTTTGATATTTTTGCTGTGTGATTCTTCCATGTCAGTAATATACTTTCTTACAAAGTGCACCCACACATATTATACATTGTTTTTTAGAGGACAGATAGGGCTACATATTTATATCACATATGTGTGTCTAACGCCTCACTTAGGACAAATAAAATATAAAAAAAGAGAAAAAAAACGTTAAAAAAAAACACTTTTTTCCCAGTTTTGATTTGTAGTATTTTTTTTACAACACCAGCACAGCTAAAAAAAATGCAATAAATACATTCATTTATTTGTCCCTTATTTTATTTTTTTTTACACATTTTTTTTTTTACACTTT